GCCTGTTTCTAAGTGTCTATGCACCTTGATTTGATGATATTATTGTATGGTATAAAATCTTATTAAAAGGTTGTGTGCAGCAACCATATATTTAGAGATGTTATACACGGTAAATACCTGAATGATGCTAGTAGCAATGTGTAAATTGGTATCAATAAGAAAGTCAATAATTTCTAATGAATTCATCGGATGGCAAACTGTGAGCAAAAGGTCATGGCTTGTGGTTATGAGTAAAGAAATAACCCAAGACTAACAAGAGTGCCTGGTGCCCCTTAACAAACGAAGGGGATAATCCAGGCTTGCTACTCTAAACTGATTGAGCCATTTGTACAAGGTGATGACCGTTGACCGTGTAGCTCAGGTGTGTAAGGGTTTGAAGTCCGGACCCGACTGTTCGTGGTTCGAGTCCCGATAGGCACACAAAAATATGCCCACTGCTGACGAGTCCCAAACAGCTGTCCAGTGCTCTCTTTATCGGTTATCATGAACATTCTACAGCATTTAAGAGAACGAATCTTTATTGGGTCATTGTGGTTATGAGCGAAATAGAAAATAGAAACAAAGTTCCAATCAAGTTCCACTGCCTGAGAAACTCAGATATCGTGATCCGGAGTAACATGGATTTCGCAGTCACTTCTAAGTCTTTTATATAAATCTTTGACGTTTTTTGAGAGAGTCATGCACACCATAACTGTATCAATTCCATGCCCATTGTCAACTATGTTACAGACTCGAAATCGTCATTATCTTAACTGATCCCTTAGGCCATGCATCCGGTCATTAAAACGGCAGAAACTTAGTTTCTCAGTTTGTTCCCGTTTGTTCCCTAAGTATATAGATGATGAACCATGAGGTACCTTAAATTTCATTTTTTTAATGGACCGCTAAAAGAGGGCGATTGGAAGATTTTAAAGAAAAAAATTAGTTTATTATATCATTTCACTTCATCACGTGACTTCCTATTCCGTTCACAACGTTTTAATAGCCTTTGTGTTTCATTTGTGCCGCCGCGTGTTGGCTAGTCCATATGACCTCAGAATGAGTCGTCTCCGCGGTAACGATATAAACGATAGACAATAAGGTTCTGAGGATGGGAACGGGTTATTTTATCTATTCGCGCTTTGATCAGGAACAAAGCGATTGGTTCTTTCATGTAGTAGCCTGTTCACGACACAGGTGCATCCGAGTTATGGGGCAGCAGGGCAGGGAGGTGGAGCACGTGAACCCCATCAGCCCGAAACGGGTTCTCACCCAGACTAATTTGTCCACTCCTTATGGCCTTACAGCCAATGTTAGAACTGATAAATCACCTTAGAATGACCTAGAATAGACTGCGTCAGACGAACACACGCTCGCACACACGCACTGCGGGACAACCCATTCCATCACGAACGTTCACATTCCCGTTCGTTTATTTACACCGATGACCCAAAACAGAGAAAGTAGTAAGGACAAGAGGAAAATTCATTTAGCCAATCTAGTGAAGAGCAGCTAATTGTCTCAGGGTATAACAACGCGGGTAAAGATAGTTGCACACACACACACACACACACACACACACGGAACGTTCCAAACCCTGCTGGTTCATTACAATCCGTCAACAGTTATTCTGTGCAGAGTAGGCAGCGAGGACACAACCTGTCCCATGAGTTTGCTCTCGTGCGTTTATGCTTTCACGTGTCTGTGTGTGTACATGTGCTTCCGCAGAGTCGGTGCCCAAATGATGTTGCTCTTAGATCACCCCGGTCGGAGATTCAATTTTCAGTTGTCTGAAAAGATTTGAGTCAGATAAGAGTCCAAATAAGAGTCACAGGGGCCGGAGGCGAAATGCAATTCACCTGCTATCTTTCCTATTCACTTTATCTAATGAATTATACCGGATTTCCACTCCAGAGGGTATTGACGTCCTCACTTGAACTAAAGTGATTCATTTGGCATTCCAAATTTTGTGTCTCCAGCTACAAACGGAATTCCTTAGGTCAAAATCCCATGCATATATATTTATTTCGGACTGTACAAGACTGACTTTAGGCAGTTCAATGTGGCTGTGAAAACAGTCTGAAAGCAAAATAGTCATTAGTTAGAGCCATGTATTTATCAGTTCCGGCAGATTCTGCGTGGATGTGCCTGAGACTTTAGAGCACAACATATTTCGCGGTAGCCCACACCGACGAAGAGGATTTTCTTTGGGAACCCTAACCGGAGCCTTGACTCAAAAGTCTGACCCACAAGGCAGTGAGGCGTAAACCCAACACGAGAGCCTGAACGAAGCACCCATGTGGGAGCTTATAGAGATCTATCAAACAAGGCCATTGAATTTCGATTACTTGTGTTGTTCGCTGGGGCGTTGATTGTCGGTCCGCTTTTNACGATCCCAATGAGACAAACGGAACGTGGACGAGACAGCACCTTATTGGCTGAGGGCTGCCCAGCTTGGGTGGGCGGTAACTGTCCGATGAAGTGCGAAGACCTCTTCCACCGTCGAGAGGAAGCCCCAGGTACCGCGCTCCTTTGTCTATCTAGCGGGGTACACTGCCCCTCACCGTGTTTATTTGCTGGAGTGACCTCTTTAGGGGCGGGTGTGGAAAGACGAAGGAAGCCAGGAGGTGCCCAAGCGGTTGGCTTTGTGAGACTGAGCTTTGTTTGGCCTCCACCTGTTGATCTTTCAGGTATGATTGGATCTACGGCTGTGAAAAGGCATCCTGTATAGCTCACAAGGTCATGGAGGAGCGCAAGCCATCACATCATATCAAGGTGCAATGTTGTCGTGATAGGGGGGGGGGGGGCTCAGATTGATTTCCCGTTTATTGGAACATAGTGTTTCTAAACTACAACTGATTTATAAATGGAAACCGGGGGCTTATATATAGGTTGTATAGCGGTTGGAGTAGGAGATACTACTCCGTTAACCGGTTCATAGCGATGCGAACGAGTGAATAGAAAAAAAGACGGGTGTCAATAGACTCCATGCGGCCCGGATTGATGCGTTGGGAAGCGCGGAATAGGTAATCTGGATACTCACTTTTCCCGAATGATCGGTCCCACAGTTTATTGGTTGATAAGCGTGTGATTCCAAAACAAACCGATTTGTTCATATCTTTTGATTCGCTTACAACGGGCTGTGCCTTCTAGCTCTACTGGTTCTGGGAGTATCAATTCACATTTTCCAATTTTGAACGAGTATAAGAGACAGGCACTGTCAAATTGGCTTCGTTTATTGAAGTGGAGTGTAAATTCTTTAGGACTTTCCTTTTTTGTTTTCAAACATGCTATACATGTGGGCACATTATATACAATACACATTTGGCCTGTCCAGAATAAACGACCTCCCAAGGGATGAACGCTACAGTTCCATATTACAGGAACAATCGACAGTAGTAGATGCTTATCACAGATTCAAGCATACGGTTCCCAGAACAAAAATAGCAAAATCCTTATCGCTCTTATCTGGATCCCATTAGAAGCTTAAAATGTGTCTTCAAAACCGACAGCAGATTGACAGTGGATGTGGGAGCTCTATAGTCTTGAATGCCAAAACAACCAATATTCTCATTTGTTAATGAACTTTTTTCATAGATAATAATTTTCACATGCCCTATTTGTTCACTCTCCTCCGTGCAACGTTATTCACGATAGGACAGCTTCCGGTTGTAGCCAACAATCGATCAATAATTTATCCACATACGCGCAAAAACCTCTTGCATTTGATCGGGGTCTGGTCATTAAGCAAGCACGGTTAATCGGTCATTGCAAATCAAGCGTGCGCTGAATAGCAGATACGAGATGCTGTTACCAGTCCGGTCGAGTGCACATCAGATACAGTCGAGAGAAAAAACAGCATTTCTCTCGTAGATTTTTGCGTATTTGTCCAAATCGCTTGAATGAACTAACCACGCTTTTCGAGTCCCCAGTCTCGTGCAAGCAACGACAATAAAACTCTGATCACATTCCCGTAAAGTACGAATAATTTTCAAGGTCACATTTTACCCTTCCAATTTAATACATCTTATTTTCCCCAAGATTCGCTTTCCTAGACAGCTGCTGACTATCGAATGCAGTTCCATTCGGTTATTTAGTTCTAAAATACCGAATGCAAATCAAGGTTTATTAGTTAGTAAACAGTAGAATAATTGATATCCTCTACCGTATGAATCCAAGGTCGATCGCAAATCTACCACGTAAACGTTTCCTTTGTTACGTGGTTCAATGATTTCGTTATCGATTGACCATCATATATTTTCGTTATTCCCTCGTGAATTGATTGGCTGATTGTAAGCGAGTAAGCAAGAAATCAAATGAATGAGAAACAAGCTTTTATTCATCGCTGAATTTCGTTATCATTATGGTTTTGTTGACCGTCGTCATCGTCGTACCATTTCTATTCACAGTTCGACATAATGTGCGCTGTGAGGTGTGCAAGCGGGAACCGATTTGGGGTCTCCGATACAAGTGTACCAGATGTCCGCATTACAATCTCTGTCAGGATTGTTTCTGGACCGGGGTCACAACAGACCAGCACACGAATGCACATGACGTGAAGGAATACAGTTCATCCTCTGTGAGTCTGGTTCTTTTTGTTTTCTGTTAAAAAGTTTCAATCGATCTAATTGAAGACAAACAAGTGTAAAGTTTCCTGGGAAAGATCTTTGACGGAAACATAGCAACAGACTAGCCAACCTGAATAACTCGTCTCACACGGTTTCTTGATAACCTCGATTATTGATCTCTGAAATCTAGACAGGACGGTTTACTAAATGAGAGCACTGTTTAGATATCTTTCACTGTACAATCACCATTAAAATTTAGCTGAAACCCACAATCCCTTAGCCCTGATCCACAATCTTTTACCCATAATTCGCAATTCATTGGCCACGCCTCCCGTACTCCTTTAGACTCGACGCACAAACTTTACTTATGCCGCCATAAGCGAGTCAGATCAAAAACAATCGGAATATTCTGAGGTCAAAGAATGTTAGAGCATTCTATTTTCCTGTCAGGAAGGTTAAATTCCAAAAAAATCCGGTAGAAAAAGTCATGTTTGGCCGGAATGGCCAAATGAAAAGGCCGCAGCTGGGTGAGCCTCCGGCCCGAAATGATCGATCATAGTATTTCACCACGGACGGTACGACGTTTCTGATTGGTCAGACAACGTAATCAACCGGGTGGTTCGATGACTCTGATTGGTCACTTGATATCGAACGTTCAGAAGGCACCGGACGCAATAAGAAAGAACGAATGCTAACGCGTAAAGACGACACAAAAAGGAAGACACTTTTTTCTCTAAGATAATGTCCTGCACCATTTTGATTGTGTTCTCTTCATCGGCCCGGAAGTTGGTGGTACGATAGAAGTTTCAGCACCAGTCAGTACACATATCAATAAATATCGATGTTACAAAGCTTGGTTAAAAAATGAGGATTGGCGATTTTATACTGCCCAGTTCACGGTCAAAATGGTATCACGTATCGCAGCGCATATCGATTGGATGAAGTTTCAATGATGCGCCCGTATCGTCTGACCATTTGGCACATCTTGTCTGGCTTCTGTGGTTTCGGCGAACCAGTTTTTATGTGCTAAATAATAAGCCAATTAAGGAGTTGAAAAGCCTACCTGTTTGAATTAACGGAACGTGTTTCCCAACGGGTTAAAATAAGCTCGGTAAGGTGGAAGAAATTGAGTTTGGTGGTTCGCATGTAGGTGCGCATCCAAAGTCCTCGGATGAACGGGTGCATTGTCAAAGTTAAAAACAAATGGAACACCTGGTTACTCAGGAGCGATTATCGTGTGAAGCAGCTTGATAGAAACCCTCTCGAGAAGGAATATGGGCCAAGTCTAAGGGATTGTGGATCGAGACTGAAGCATTGCAGGTTTTCGCTAAAGCTTGATGGGAACAGGTTAAGCGGGAAAATTTACAATCTCCCAAGGAGTGAACCTCATACCCAAAAGTACCAACCAACAATGTTTGGTGCCTGTGAACAATTGAATGGGCTAATACAAACACGCTACGCTCAAGCTCTTATTATTTTTATATGCAAAAATGTGAATTCCCTCGGCAGTCCCTCTGCAGTCACATACTGTACTATGATTCAGAAAGATGTTGCAACGCGGAAGTCTAAAGCGGTTGGTTGAATCTGTTTNATAAGCTCTCGAGAACAAAGACGAAATAAAATCCAAAATGCGACACCTACGGAGAGTCACCTGATGGGATTTGGTGTGCTTTCTGATCGCAAATGGAAGAGAAAGAATGCGGCATACGTGGGATCACATGGACGAGTCATATCAATCAACATGTGTGATCATTTTCAAAAGTCTTAAAGAGGAGTGGCGGCGGGAGCTGCCGCAACTGCAGCACAACAAGAGAATTCAGTTTCGTATCCCCTAGTTAACGGCAATTTGCTTGCAACCGCTTCAACGTCACCATCCTACTTCGATAGCACCAACACTTGGCATTGACGAAATGTAAGGTTGTTCACCCGAGCTGTGAGAACCCATTTTCAATACTTGGTCAACATGAAAAAGTAACCTGAACGCTTTTCACATACACGGGGTTCAAATTCGAATGAACAGAACTGAAAACAGTGATTAATAAAACTGTAGCACTCTTTTCCCGAGATGGATTTCAAAAGAAAAGACCAATACTGCACGATTTATGACCGGGACGATTTCATTGCATCTCAACACGGTGTTTCGGCGCGCATACAAAAGCTCGAATATAATTTGCCAACTTGAGACATTTGTGGTGCCGTCGCGACATCCGGCTCTCTGTGAAGGGTCGAGTATATGCTACAGCAATTTGATCAGTTGTGTCTGCTATGGCGCAGAGACTTGACCACTAAGGGAACAGGATGAAAATAGATTGTCGGTGTTCGAACACCGCTGTCTCAGTTGCTGGGGCAACCGGACCAGCGGCACTCAGGTTAGGCGTAGAGTTTTAGGCAGTCGCGGTCGTTCATGGGGGTAAGTGATCGACCGCCATAGATTACGCTGGCTGGGGCATGTGCTAGGCATGTCATTGAATAGGTTGCCACAGTAAGCGATGTCCGCCGAGGCAGGTAGCGGTTGGCAAAAGATCAAAGGCGGTTAAACGAGGGTATAAAAACCCTAACCAGGAGACTAGATCACATAGGCCCCGTTAAGCTCCATGGCTGGGCAACTCGAGATAATGGTCACTGATGGTTAGACATACTGAGTGATATGACTGAGTGTCATAAACAGTGGCGCTGGTGCATCCACTCATTATTATCCTGATACCATTCTATATGAATTCTCCATCTTCCGCTTGAATTTGCTTTCAACATTCCAATCCTCGTTCTGTTCTTTTCATCCGAATGGGGTACCAAAAGACAGTAACCAAAACCTGCGCACGAGCTTGCATTGTTAATGGTTGTAAAAACTGAAACTGAACAACATGCTGGATAATGCAGAAAACACAGTGGTTATACAGGCAGGGCTTTAGCATGACAATCCATCAAAAGTGAAATACGCTAAAAACAGACAAATATAATAGGGTATGGAAAGAGGTAAAAGGACCACGTCACCGGGATAAGGACAGACTAACATGAAGTTCTTTTTGTTGGCACAACGGGGGGGGGGAAGAGGGGTTTTTCATCAGTTGATAGCAATCATTTCTGCAAATAGTAACAATCTTGCTATTCGTGATTGGCATAGATAATTCAAAATATCTTGCTTCGATCGATCTGGTGTTGTATCATCAGAAGATGTCAAGCTATGGATGACTAAGGAGTGTTACAGTTCCGACCGTTATTCCTATATCGCGGACTTGACCTTTATTGAGTCGCGTCATCTGACTTTNGACCCGATTTCGTAAATGTTCAATCACCCGGTTACGTAATAATCACTCTGTTCTGATTAATGTCAAACTGTGGGGCAGAATTTTCTACTTTCCTTGGGTAGAAAGAATTAAGTTCATGAGAATGAAATAGATCTGCATTGTTCGTCTGTAGTATTGAATCTTGTATATCGGGAAAACCTCCTGGATGGTATTTTATTGCGACAGAAGTTTAATGATGCTAAAAACCTGGAATGATTTCCGTTTTATCAGCTTGATGAAGTAAAAAATGATTCCTGGGATGTACAATGAGAAAAGCATCACTATTATAAGGCGAACAAGTGGGTGATTGTTACCAAACTATAAGTATGCTGTGGTGCAGCTCATTGTTTTGTCTGGACCTTCATCATATCTTGGATTGTTCTGAACTGCCATGGATCAGTATCGGGTGAATCTGCGAACCTATTACTCAAAATTCAGGTGGAAAAAACAACCCAGGTCAGTAATTTCGTCACGGAATATTTGGACCCTATTTCGTTTAGGGTACGCAATTATTTAACTAAAGATCCACAGCAATTTATTTTGCTGGTTGTTTGAAATTACTACGATTAGGAAAGTTTGAATTCTTTCACCTTTAGAAAACTTATTACACACAAAAAGCGTCAATGGCATCAAAGTTGACCAACCGTCTACTGATGAAATGTTAATAGTGTTATTGAATCAGGCAAGTTTTTGTTCAGTAGTAGGAACTATAAGTTTTGTATAATGTTTTATATCATGTTCGTGAGATGCGAAATGTCCCCTTCTGGTAGAACGAAATTCTGTTCATCATTAACTCCTACGATTTCATTATGAAAATCGATCGCTAATTTTTCAACATTACTGTTTCTTTTGTGATCTACAATATGTTTATTAACCCAAATAGATACATAGAAATGCTTTGTAATCAAAATATGGTGTTCCTTTCGACATTCAATGACTTGTTCTATTCGTTGCATTTTTTTATTGGTTTACTACCAATTTACTGAGTAGTGACTAAGGCTTTTACAGATTCCAAAATCGTGATATGCATAAATTCATAGGTGAATAATACATTGCTACCAGGATGGTACTTCTTTCCTACCAATGACGAGAGTCGCGCCACCGTAATGACTCCTGGTGTGGGCATTCATCCGAAATTGCGAGGGAACATTTTGTAAACCATTGAACTAATTAGTGTTGATAGATATTCGTCCGAAATGTGACCAAAATCCTGTTCAATAGACTTAACAGTCCCCGTAACTGTTTCCACATGCCGCGTATGTTGCGGGAAACGTGAACGCGTCCATCAACTATTCTGCAACGCTTAGGTGTACTCTGTTGACATGAATGTCGCGGAAACTGTAACCTTGTTGACGAGGTGTTGCACATGCTATTCTATTTCATTCTACTCCCAAAGCTGTTATGTTCTATCAGTAACCGCGGGGGTGGGTGGATGGGTGGATGGAGGGGTGAGGCTCAACGAGAACGTAAATCATTACACAATAGAGATCACCTGTGCAGTGCAATTCGGTGCCGACTAGAAATAGCTCTGTCCGTGTTAAACAACTACAAACAAAACGAACTAATTGCTTATTTGCCATTTCGATTTTTTGTTTTGAAACCAATTGTCCATGATAGTGTTTTTTGGCCAGATTGTTGGAACGACAGTTCACCACCTCCCCAACCTCAACCGGCACTGTGTAATGAAGCACCGGTCTCAATTCACCGTTTGACTTGCCCAAAAGGGATGTTGTTCTATTGTTTTTTCTTTTTTTCATTATTTGTCCTTTCCGATCACCGTCCGTACTTGGCACGTTACTTTTAGACACTTCACTGAACGCTCGTGTGTCACCGGTAGATGTTAGAAACAATGTTCTGTTCAGAATCGACCGGAAATAAGAGTCATTAACCAAATGGATAGGCTCCCTGTCAATAAAAGTATTGTATGCATGGGTTAGTAGATGCAAAACGCTTGAACCGAGCAAGCTAAAGCAAGTTGACATGGACCAATGCCCTATAGGTGGTGGTGGTGGTGGTGGTGGTGGTGGTAGTAGTAGTAGTGGTAAGATGATGCGTTTTTATCCAAGTTCCCGGTTTTATGTATGTGATGTCCTCTGAAAAGTTAATTTTCTTGTGTTTTTTTATCTTCCTTATTCAAAGACATAAAGTAAGCATCAGTCTTCACTTTGGATCGCAATGTAAACTTATGTGGTCAACTGATCCGGGCTGAATAAAGGCCTCAGAGCAATATATCCCACTTTGTGGGTGTTTCAGCTTCTACAAACTAATCTAGAGAGAGAATTACAAATAATTCTGTGGTAACCAAACCGAACACGTCCATCAGACGCAACTGATATCAAATGAGGTTTCTGTCCAATTGTTTTCGTTTTGAAAATCCAATTGGTAGGAAGTGTTTTGCGGTCCCAAACCTAAAAGAATCTGGCAACTATTTATAACAGTCTTTAGATAATCTATATGAACGGCCCACTTTTCCTAAAACACCTCCCCAATGTATTTTCTGATTTCAAATCGATCAATGTGTCCAATGTCGGGTGTATATGTACTTGTACTAAATACGGACCATTCGCCACCCGGTTCCTAAGGCAATTCATAACTCATCCCTTTCCAAACGTACCTTTACCTTGTCCGCATAGAAATCCCATTCCCGTCAGTTTGGTCATTCCTTACGCAAATCCTTTCATCTGAGCAGATCGACCGGTTCTGCATCTCAAACGAGTAGCATCAGTTCTGCCGATTTTACCCCTCTAGTTTGTGCCGGGTCACAACGCCTGTCTAGCACTACTACTGGTCAACAAGTATTCAAAAGAGCTCCTCTGGGTTCTATTTTTGAATGGAATTCCGCTCCGGGCAGTGTGGATGCAAACGGTTTTGCCAAGAATGGCAGTGTCCTGTCTCATCCGGCCGTCGGGACAACCACCGCTACAACCACCATGGATTCTGGACCGACCGGAGGTGGACAGGTGGCCCATCGACCCCAAATGCCTATCAGTGCGGTTCGTAGTCCCCTGCCCCATCGACGTTTGCAACAATTGAATCCGCTCTTTCTCTCTGCCCCAACCAATCCCACAATCCAACCGTTCCCGAATCAGAATGTGATGATAACGCAGGCACCTCTCTATGCAGCCGGCCCGATGGGTGTGGTGCCGACGTACCCATCTGAAACACCGCTCATGCGAATGGCCAATCCTCAGTCAACAAATCAAATGGTTCCGGTAGGGTACAACCCAGTCAAAACTCGTGCACCGAGTGTACTTGGTAGGTCCCCCTCCCCGGTTGAAGTGCTTCTTTACATAAACTCTATCTACGGTCAATACCAGCAATAATAATAATATCAATAGTGTTTGTAATTCCTTTCTAATTACAGAGTAGGTTAATGTAAAGTCAACTTTACGGAAGAGGGTTGCGACAAAACAGACTGATTGAGTACATACGGAAATGGAACAGATGGGCGCTGGTGAAGCGATTCGAACTCAGGATATCCAGGTCGTTATGTTGATGATCATGACCACTTTATCACCCTCGATCAAATAAATGATCCAGTCCGCTGATCTCAGACGAACCACCCCTTTTAACAGACAGGTCACAATGCGCAATAAAAATATGAGGGTATTCGTTTCATTTCGCCTGATTGTTCGTTTTGTTGGGTCATCCAAACTACCACACACTCTGAAACAACAAGTGCCGAGTTTTTCTCCCCTATTTTATTGCAAAGCACACAGATCTCAGATGAAAATCAGTTAACTTTTAACGTCTATAATGAGACTAAATCTAAGAAATCATCATTAAAGTTGCATGTACAGAGTTCAACGAATGAACAAATTTAAGCATAGTCCAAAAGTTTCGGGTAGTTTCAAATTTCGAATACGGATCGTCTGGAGCGATTGGGGATTGTGGTGCGTACCTGTTGACAAAGTATTGGAAATCGGTTCTCATAGCTCTCGGGTGAACCGAATGCCATTTCGCCTGTTCGTCAAGTTTGGCAATTTCGTGGCAAACGTGTCATCGCCAGCCGAGATGACATCGTTAGTGTAACGCGTTCCGTGATACCCGGAGACGAACGGGTCCGTGCAAACATACAATGTTATCAAACTACAGGAGACGAGAAACTCTGCCGCATGAGTTCAGTCCAGTGTGAATAAATTGGATTTCCATACTCCTGTGAGTTCTCCTGATTTCCCCTGATGATAGGTTGGTCTATCTACTCCTCATGGATTGCTTTAAAAAAATACCAGAAGTAAAGCCACTGTTGCTGCCGCTGCGTTACATGTGGAACACGAGTCGTGGGCGTGATAAACCCAACCACGTTTGTTGTTGTTGTTTTTCTTGTTTATTATTCCTGTTCTCCTTCTTGTTGTTGTTGTTTGCGAAGCGTTGTGCGCTTTATGTTTCCGTCAGCCGACCGGATCTAAGCAGATAAACCAGAATAAGCGTCAATGATTCCGTATGCAGGCGAACAGGTGAACTCAACGAACTACCGCCGATGCATCTATGGATAACCAAAGCCGACAGAAATTCAAAATTCCGTAGTGTATCTTGGTGGTGATTCGACGTGTGAAATCTAAGATTGCTCTCGTTTTATCCTAGTTAAGCGAACCTCGTTTTAATTACCTCAACAAAGAATATGTAAGAATATGTGTAGCCGATTGTGCAGTCGGTTTAGGCATGTGCTAAATGACGAGCCATGTGTTTAAACGCATTGTTTTCATTGTTTTTCATTACCAAAATAACTGCATTGAAAAGAAGACAAACTTTTGGTCACCCTTATCCCTAAATTGAATCAGATGCTGTTTTTCAATATTCATTGGCAATAACGAGAAATTAATGGTCCTAGCCACTGATTGAACCCTTGATGTTTGTCAGTGGATGTCCCAAACTCAGCACTTCACCAAGTTTTCGCGTGAAAAACATTCGCATCTAACATCATGTTTTGCGAACTCTTTTTTCTACAGATTGCGAACGACGTGCAACCGTTTTATCTCCGCCTAGTGGTATGGATCCCCGACAGATCCTCCTCAGCCCGGCAATTCCGCAGCAAATACTCAATTCCACTGGATATATGATGGGGTAAGTAACTTGGATTTCACGTAATAGTCGATCGAAATCGAGATCCCATTTCGGACAACCGGATTCCAAACGAAGCCTGTTCTTGCTCTCAATTTGCCTGTTGTTCCCGATCCTTTGCTAGTAGATAATTTTCCTCATCCGATCCTAACACAGAACTCAATCGATGCCTGTTCAATTCAAACTTCGACAAATAAAATTACAGAATCAAAGTATTGTCGCTCCTCATCGCATGATCGAGTTGGAGAAAACATGGTCAATCTTAGCCCTGTCATTTATATGCAACCTGTGATTTTTTTTCGATATATCGCTTCAGGTATTTACACATGTAGTTTGATTAGTAAGAAGAATATTACAAGGCTCAGGCTCATGTGAAATAATTGTATGTGTGCAAAATGTTTGGTTGACAACAAGCTATGGGATCACGATAAGTGAATAGGGAAAAGTCGGATAAAAATGTGTGAACTGAACACAATATGAAAGATGTTAGTCACGAATGAATAAAACAGGTGTGAAAATGCGCGAAAAAGACAGTAAATGAGGAGTGGGTGTGGGAGAGGGGGAGAATAGAGAGTGTCACTTAGAGATATGGGGCAATTGTTCTTATGGCCATGGTAACAGAAGCGCCTGGACCAGATTACGTGGCTTGCCCAACTCCGGCTTCAAGATCCTAATTGCTAAATGTTCCGCAGTTGTTAGGATCGTTTTACGTAATTCTTTGGTGTGATTCTTAGGTGCAATGAAGAAACTTGTAAATGCTGTTTCTGTGTCAATCCTGTGTCTACTGTCGGCCAAATCTTGCAGGCTTCAGCTGTTCAAGCTTCTCACTGTTTTTTTGGGCAGATGCGTCGTTGTGCGTCCGATTTAACGAGCCCTAAAAGTGCATGTGAACTGATATACAAAAGATTGAGACTGACAATGCAATTTATCCTTATGTAGTTGAACAATGAATGGCTTAGTCCCGGATGAGAGTCTTGAATACGCCGAGGGAAAACAGTTGGCAATAGTTTTCGATAGCCGATATTCCAGGATTTATAATGCCCTGTCTCCCTTGGAAGGAACTTTGACGAACACTTCCTTTCTTCTAGCTAGTTATACTTTTTAATCGCTTTTTAATCGCTATCCAAAGTCATGGAGTCCACAGTAACAGATTCACTGATGGAACACCT